ATAACATGCTTTTGCCTATAAGACGCATGTATATTGTGGATGTCTCTCATAGCGCCATGCTGGTTTTTAGAAGGTGGAGTCAACCTTCAAGATCATGGTGCAGAAATGAGGTTTCTTGCTCGAAGTGTTTCCGCTGTGAACAATTCCCTACGTTTGATTCGACAGAATACAGCGGGTGTATTCTTCAAAATGGGTCTTGGTGATGAGGCTTCTAAATATCGTGGCCTCATTCTGCATCTCTCAAGCAAAGAAAATCAGGATTGGAAGGATGTAACTTTTTTGACCTTTTCCGAGATAGAATACGCAAGTTTACTTCGAAATATCTTATTTAACCTCCACTATTTAGCAAAGCTTGTGGATCAATCACATATTTTAGTGCACCCAATAAATAATCTACCCTGCATTTTCCTTTACTAGATAAAAATCTTTGAAACATATTCTCGGCGAGCAAATACAATGCATTTCGCAAACATCAAATTTAACATTCGTGGTCAAATCGGAGTAGCTGAGACAAAGGCCAATAACATAATTCATGCCCTGTAATTCACAAAGATAGACAACGAAAATGATAAGGATGTGATTTTGCCCATCGAAGGAATTCCTAAAGAAAGATTATTAAAATGTGCTAACTTGATTCTCACACACTTGCAGAAGAAAATACCACTTGCATGCTGACTTTCTCAGTCAAGTGTTAAAAGTCAGTAATAAAGGATCTATTGCTTTTTTAATTCGAGTTGGGCAATCTTGCATTATTCTATAATAAATAAACCTAGAAGCGGTCGACGGTATTTTTAAAAAACGGAATTTTCCAGAAGGGCTTCTACCTGTCCCTATGCAATCACTAGTCTATGGGGTTTTCGCAGATGAGTTAATTTGACGACTGTTCCTTATTACTGGTATCCATTGTCATTCATTTCAAAAAATCCCAACTGACTGTCAAAGAATTATTGCAGATAGTGTGACGACAGAGTTAAGAAGACCAGAGGTCAGAGTGCACGCAGGTGGCTGGCACGGCCGGAACCGCATATCTACCTGTCACCGCACTCACTTGTCCACAATATACGCTCGACAGGGTTAGTCACTAACAACAGCAACATAAACGGTGGGAAAGAGGAAGATGGCTATACAACCTTGAACGCATCCAGCACACCCAACGGGACTGCACTCGCATTAACTGGCCGGAAACCAGCAGACGGAGAAAGGCTAAGGCACACCAGGCTGGGAGAGCCACGGTATGACGGATAACTGTCAGTTGTTAAATATATCAGCATCGGCATTTAGGGAACCGAGCCAAATTAAGCTTCGCAGGTTTTATTCTGCCGAGGAGTTCATTGAGGTGGCGTGTGCATGAATACGCAAGAGTCGTCCTCATCCACACATATACATATACATACACTTGACCAGGATTTTTCACTAACAGCAGCAACATAACTGGAGAAAAAGAGGCGGATGACTGGGCAACATTTACCGCGACCAGCACACCAAACGGGACTATTCCACAAACTCTATCCGTTGACAAAACATTGTGAAACATCAATTAATGATTCAGCCCAGTTTCTGGACAAATTACAAGGACTAAGAATCGCAGCAGATGAAATAATGGTATCCTTCGATGTCGTTTCTCTGTTCACCTCCATACCATTGGATTTAGCAAGACAATGTACAGAGGAACGTCTCCAGTACTACGACATGGATATCCCTGCATCTGATTTGTTAGAACTATTAGACCTTTGTCTAGAAACGAACATTTCATTTGCACAGGAATACTATCAACAGCTGAAGGGAGCTCCTATGGGATCACCCATCTCCGGTTTTCTCGCAGAAATCACGATGCAGAAATTAGAGGCTATCGTCTTACCACAAGTTAACCCCAAATTATGGGTACGATATGTTGATGACACGTTTGTCATTGTTAAAAGTGATCAACTGAAAATTCTCCACAATATTATAAACTCAACACTTCCAGGAATCACATTCACGCTCGAGAAGGAGGCTGACAACAAACTCCCGTTTCTTGATGTCCTCGTACAGAGAAAACCTGAAGGGACATTTCATACTTCGGTTTACCGCGGAAGTCCTTTTGCATTATGAGAGGAATTACCCAACCTCTCACAAACGGAGTGCCGTGAACAGCGTCCTTAACCGAGCAAGAACTCACTGCTCCGACAGCGAAACATATCAAACAGAACTGAGGTACTTGTTCAAAATGTGTTCCCAGAACGGGTATCCTAGATATTTTGTACATCGATGCATGCGACAACAGGAGTTAAAAGAAAAAGAGACGGAACTAGATTGTTCCGATCAGGTGCCAAACAAAAAAACTACCGAACCCTTCCGTACATTAAGAACGTGTCCGAACTAGTTGAAAGACACCTGAGGAAACACCAAATACATGTGGCGCACAAGCCGACAACTACACTTCGTAACCAGCTTGTACACCCAAAGGACAGGGTTGGTTATTTAGATAAGAAGGAAGTCGTCTATAAGATACCATGCAACACCTGTAATGCAGTTTACTGTGGTCAAACTGGGAAATCAGCCTCTACGCGAATACACGAACAACAGTTGGCCGTAAAAAGGCGCGACCACTTGTCCCAAGTTGCCATGCACACGTTGTAAACGGGACACGAATTCGCCTGGGACAGGACTAGCATTGTAGGTGTCTGCTCATCCAAAAAGGGCCGTGAATTTTTAGAGGCCATCCATTCTATTAGCGCATGCATCAATCGACACGTAGAATTGGATACAATGTATAACTGCCTCAAGGAAAAGTGGAAAAGGCGTTAACCCATCAGAACATTAAAATAGCAGCAGTGACAAGGCAAAATCGATTTTTCGGCGTGTTTAAATGTTAACTGTTTTGCACACTTACTTCACGTCTGAAGACGTCTTGGGTAACCAAGATCAAAAATTTACAATAAAACTTGTTTATCTTTCCCAAAGAGCTTATTTCTTTCGAAATATTATTTTAGTAAGCTGACCACACGATATCAGTCAACAAGGACTGCAGAGAAAAGCCTGGTTCAACTCAGCAGAAGATTGAAGAAATCCGTCCTTCTAGTAGCTTCCACGTACACGCAAATAGAATTCCTTTGCAGTTGTTTCAACAGACGAATTCTCTCAAAGAACATCTCCTGCGAGCCGCCGGTGAACATCGGACCTCTGAGGCTACAGATATCGCAACATGCAGGCGAATGAATGCAATTGTCCTCCAGGATTGTCATTTTTGCATACAATAGACAAGCATTCATTCACCTAACTGATCCGTAAACAAACTGGAGAACTGTGGTCTAAATAAGATATTTTAGGGTTGTATGATCGATGCCTATTTACGTCCTGAGTGGGAATGGAATGCATACCAAGGAGAAACATTTATGAGTAATTCCTTAACGTTGTTTTGTATTAGCTCATCAGTGTCTTTTCAGCGTCTTAACATCGCGAGCAGAAACGGCGCATCTGTCAACAAGTCCGATCGCTGAAAGCGAGATAACCTCTGGATTGTGAAGGTGAGATTTCCGTTTTGACAATCAATGAAAGGAAAGCTACTTCCCGGAATAAATTTGTTCTGCTGCAGGCCTCAGCGTTAGTTTTTAAACGAAAGAGGCAATATCTCGGGAACAACATACTGATATCACATCCCAGACAACATCTGCCGTTGCGTATACGTTTTCTGCAGGGATCCCCGGCTCCTGACTGAGCTTAGTGAACACAAACTACTTGTCCACAAACTAGCTGTCCCTCTGCACAAAACGGATGAGTGCATTCAACAAGGCATGGCAATTTAACAATAACGATAACAAATGAATGTCAGTGCAGACATGCACTTAACAGGTCTGTATGCATGACCTACTGACTCTCCGAGCCCGTCCTAAATCGATAACGACTAATTGGCGTTAGGCTGTGGACATAACATTGAGTCTGTAGCTGAATTCTTAGGATTTTTGTGTTTTTGTCTACAGGTCACGCAATCTTGCTTCAGAGGTTGCAAACAACTTGGGGTCGGACATGGCTGGCTGGCAACTGCTAATAATTCCGAAATGGCCATCCCAGTCTTTCTAGTCTTTGTCAGCAGCGTTATTCCCTGATCCGCCGTCGGTACATACTATCAATAGGGCGAATCCTACATGTTTGTAAATCTATAAAAGACACAGGTCTAAACATACTGCTCACCATACTAGCTGCTGGGCAGTAACGGATTCGTCTGCAAATGACTTAGTACGATAATTTCACCCTCCCCCTGCTTGTTTGCTCTGACTACGGCGTTTGTGTTTCCGACTTGCTTTTCGCGAATACCTTTAGAAGAGCCGACGGAAGGCATTAAATACGACCACTTCCATGCATTCCATGGAGAGTATTGGACTGGCACCGTAGAGGCCATTGCAATTACTAATTCTGTAGTCTGGTGCGTTGGGCTTCTGAGAGCCATTAAAAAAGGCCAAGCATGTTGTACTCTGTATTCGAAACAATCCCCGGATGCATAAAACATTGTTATTTAACTTGGTTCTGGGTTATTTGTTTCAATTAACAACTGCATCGTGGCTAGTCACCCCGTTGTGTATTATCTTTTGTACCGGACAAATAAGTGAATCTGTGGCAGTTCGCGTCTCCTCGCCCTCCGCCTTTGTCACGCTGCCGTCCTCTCCGCCTCACACTCCGTGTCGATGCGCTCCTGGGACGCGCGAGTGCTCGAAGCCAATCAACGCTGTCCCCACTCTGATTGGCTGGCGGACGTGGAGACAACACAGGGCGCACACACGCGCTGACAACACCCCGAGGGCGGACACAGACAACAACTTGCTTGGAGCGCGCTCGCGGCGACTGCCTACAGCGCCCTTGTGTACGCACTACCTCAGGCAGTGCAGGTTGTCCAACTCAAACCGTCTTCCCTGACTTTTGATTGGGAATCTTTATCTTGTAGACCACATGCCATCCGACAATTGGCGACCCCTTTGCGAACAGCAATCTTTCTTCCTAATCTACGACAACGCCATGCGTTGATCATGGACAACTTTCCACCGGAAGTGCAGCATATTTTGGCACCCGCCTCCGGCATTCTTTCGGCAACGCAACTAACTCAAATGGCTGATTGTCTTATGGAGATGCACGGCTTTTCCAAGCCGTCATTTTCAGCTCTCTCAACTCCCTCAACTCATCTTACGTTTCTCCTTTCACATTTGGAGATCGAGCTCAGCAGGCTGGCCGGTTATATCCCTTCACACCAGAAGCAGAGAGTCTCCCCCACATTTCGGAGCCGACCGAAGCCGTCCACCCCGCATCTCCAGTCTTCACATTCAGCCCGTCCAAGCGCAGCTGCCATCTGCAGGTACCACACCACCTTTGGTGTTAAAGCCCGTCGCTGCATCTCTCCCTGCTCCTTCACCTCCAAGCAGAGCAAACGGGTAAAACCGGTCAGCACGAAGATCAGTGCAGCCAATCATCCCGACCACACTTCCGGCTCTGGTAGCACCTTCTATGTTTGCGACACTGCGACTCGCAGGCGTTTTCTGGTGGACACTGGAGCCCAAATTAGCGTTGTTCCCCCAACTGCAGCTGATCGCCGTTTTCCTAGCACTGGTCTTCATCTCCAAGCTGTCAATTGTTCCCCAATTCCCACTTTTGCCATTCTGTCCCTCACCCTGAACATTGGCCTTCGTCGGTCATTCACTTGAATCTTTGTGATTGCTGATGTCCCTCATGCAGTCCTCGGCTCGGACGTCCTTGCCGACTGTCGACGTGCCCGTCTCCACGACCGCACAACCGGTCTGTTTGTCCGTGGACTAACTGAATTTACTGCCCCCACCAATTTATCTGTCCTGGATACAGATATTGCCAGTCCTTTTCGGCAACTGCCGCTTAGTCACCCCAACATAATTAACCCCCAGTTTCGCAGTGGTGAAGTTCAACATGATGTTGTGCATTATGTCCGCACCTAAGGCCCTCCCTTGTTTGCTCGACCGAGACGACTAGCATTGGAGCGTTTTCAGGCCGCGAAGGCGGAGTTTGAACAGATGCTGCAACTGGGAATAATTCGACCGTCCGAGAGCCCTTGGGCGTCCCCATTGCACATGGTGCCCAAGGCAACATCAGGCGACTGGAGACCCTGTGGCGACAATACTGCCCTCTACAGCGCTACCATTCCTGATCGTTACCCCGTGCCTCATCTTCAGGACTTTGCTGGAGCCATTTTCGGCAAAGCGGTTTTCTCGTAGATTGATCTGGTGCGTGCCTTTCATCAGATTCCAGTCGCCCCTGAGGACATCGCTAAAACCGCCGTCACCACAGCCTTCGGTCTCTTTGAGTTCGTCCGCATGCCGTTCGGTCTTCGTAATGCCGCCCAAACGTTCCAGAGGTTCATCGACCATGTCTTACGTGGCCTACCCTTTGTGTACGCCTATACTGATGACCTCTTGGTGGCCAGCCGGAATGAAGAAGAACACAAAGATCACCTTGCCTTGGTGTTTGACCGCCTTGACAAGTTTGGCGTTGTCATCAACCCCTCCAAGTGCGTGTTGGGTGTGCCTTCACTCGAGTTCCTTGGCCATCAGGTTGACTCTGAAGTTTTGCGTCCCCTCCCCTCCAAGGTTGAAGCAGTTCGTAATTTTCCTTCTCCAACTTCCAAGCGTCAGTAAGAGCGATTCCTCGGCATGGACAATTTTTATCGCCGGTTGCTACCGAACTGTGCTGATCTCATGTTGCCGCTCACCAACATGCTTTCTGGTCCCAAAGGTCCCCTAGAGCTGACTGGTAAGGCACTGACTGCTTTTGAGAGAATCAAGAATTCCGTTGCCGATGCCACCTTACTCACGCATCCCGCCCCCGAAGCTCAGCTGTCTCTGATGGTAGATGCTTCGACCGTAGCCGTAGGTGCAGTCCTTCAACAACACCTTGCTGGTTCGACTCAACCACTTGCCTTTTTCTCCAAAAAGCTCTTACCAGCTGAGACACGCTACAGTACCTTTGGCCGTGAACTACTTGCCATTTACCTGGCTGTGAAGCATTTCCGGCATTTCCTTGAAGGTCGTGACTTCACTGTTTTCACTGACCACAAACCGTTGAATTTTTGTCTTCGTTCCCACTCCGACGAATACAATACGAGGGAAATGGCCCGCCTGGACTACATCTCCCAATTCACCACCGACATCCGCCATATTGATGGCACGAAGAATGAGGTGGCTGATATGCTTTCCAGACCCTCACTGTCTTCCCTCCAACTCTCACACGGGATCGATCTTTGTGTCATGGCGGCTGACCAACAGCAAAACGGTTGTCCGGGCGACGAGTCTGTTAGTGGTCGCCTACCCAAAGACGTTCCTCTGACCACCGGCTATGGTACCATACTTTGTGACGTCTCAACTCCATTTCATCGCCCTTTCGTGCCCGCCTCGATGCGTCGAATTCTATTTCAAACTCTGCGTAAACTCTCCCCCTCTAGGATCCGAGTCTCTCGAAAGCTCCTCGCGGAAAGGTTTGTCTGGCCTGGCATGAACAAGGACGTTAAAGCTTAGGCTCGGTTGTGTCTGAGCTGCCAGCGCAACAAAGTGCAGCGTCACAGTAAGTCCCCACCAGGCACTTTCCCCAGTCCCGACGCACGGTTCAGCCATGTGCACCTGGATGTCGTACGCCACTTTCCTCCATCCAATGGTTTCACCTACCTCCTTAGCTGTGTCGATCGATATACTCGCTGGGCTGAAGTTATTCCTTTGCCGAATGTTCAGGCTGAAACCATCGTGAAGGCCTTCGTCAGTCGTTGGGTCGCCATGTTCGGTGCCCCATCCACGGTTACGACTGATCGTGGTGCGCAGTTTGAGTCGGCACTCTTCCAAACGCTACTCAATTTCCTTGGCTGCATACGCACTCGGACGACAGCCTACCACCCAGCTGCCAACGGTATGGTGGAACGATTTCATCGTCAGCCAAAGACCGCCCTGCGTGCCGTAGAAGACCCAGGAAACTGGTCGGACAACCTTCCTCTTGCACTCCTCGGCATCCGCGCAGCTCTGAAGTCGGATCTGGGCTGTAGCACAGCTGAATTGGTTTTCGGCACTACCCTCCGACTGCCAGGCGAGATGATCACCCCAACCTGCGTGGGACCAACGAGACTCCTGACAAACTTGTGCACTGTTTGCGGCAATTTATGCGCTCGATTTCCCCGGTTCCACCTCGAGCTTCAATGACTGAGTCTTATGTCGAAAAAGACTTGGGCAAGTGTAGTCATGTGTTCGTCCGGTGTGACCGTGTGCGCCAGTCGCTGGAATCACCATACAAAGGACCGTTCCGCGTGCTCGCGCGCAACACCAAGACCTTCCGGATTCTTCGCAGTGACAAGGAGGACGTGGTCAGTGTCGATCGGGCCAAGGCTGCTGTTGCAGATGAGCCGCCGAACCGGTCACAAGGACAAAAATGTGCTGACCCCCTAACCCCTACTCGTTCACCCTGCCCACTGCCTTGCCCTTCCCCTCCCTTGCCCTCTATCCCTCCGTTCCATATACTTCCTTTGCCCCCATGTCCGCAACCCACAACTGCAACTTCTCCTTCCTCAACCAACAACACTGTAACCGCGAGCCATACTCACTCTACTCCTGTGCCCCCTGTATATATCACCCGTAGTGGACGCCATGTTCATTTTCCTGACCGGTTGGTTACTCATGTTTTTAGACATCGGCAATTCCTTCGGCATCGTTTCGCGCCTCCTTCGGTTTAGCCGGGGGTACTGTGGCAGTTCGCGTTTCCTCGCCCTCCGCCTTTGTCAAGCTGCCGTCCTGTCCGCCTCACACTCCGTGTCCATACGCTCCTGGGACGCACGAGTGCTCGAAGCCAATCAACGCTGTCCCCACTCTGATTGGCTGACGGACGTGGAGACAACAAAGGGCGCACACACGCGCTGACAACACCCCGAGGACGGACACAGACAACAGCTTGCTTGGAGCGCGCTCGCGGCGACTGCCTACAGAGACCTTGTGTACGCACTACGTCAGGCAGTGCAGGTTGTCCAACTCAAACCGTCTTCCCTGACTTTTGATTGGGAATCTTTATCTTGTCGACCACATACCATCCGACAAATCACTCATGTATAATCACAAGCCACTCTCACTCTCAAGGTGCTTTTATCAACTGCGTAACTGCGATGTTAGTCCATCTGACTTTTAGCATACATCGGCCGTCTGACAATAACCACAGTCGCTTTTTAATTTTCTCAGAAGATAACTGACAGCATGAAGTAGGTCGGTTTACTTTAACGTCTATGTGCGCAGACCGAATATCGATGCATGCGTATTTGGGCCGAAGTGCATCAGCCGCAGTGAGGTAACCACCTTATATTCATTAACTATCGACAGACAACTATTAGTATATTTTAGCGTTACAGCTTATAATACTTGCAGCACGGCTGTTACTTAAATGCACACACATACGTATTTCGATGATAATCCATCGCTGTATTGCACAGATGCAAGGGGTTCAGCTCAGCAGTTAATTTTATAAAGAAATTAAAGAGCGACAATTTGAAACTGGAGTATTTGTCATAATATACATGGAAAATGCTGCGAGACTAACTGAAGAGCCACGACGTCGTGTGTGTGGGCTTTTAGCTAGTATCCGTGCTGTTATTATGGCACCCTCATTTAGTAAAGTATGATATTTGTTATCTGTCGGAAGTTGTTTAATATTACACGGTTATCTCGTTGAGGCGAAAATGATTCAGCCGAAATAACCGGCTAACCAGCAAAACTGTTCTGATAGCGACAAAATCGCAATAAGCGGTACTTTTCCTCAAATTGCATTGATACATGTCGTTCGGAAGAGAAGCGCTTTAAATTCCATCGACAACTCGTAGATTTGTCCCCATCCTAATTAGTGCGAGCGCTGGGCTGTGTGGACTTAACTGTGCCCAGCAGTAAGGCGGCATGCTCCCTGAGCTTGCTTTTCTTTTGAATTCGATTGAATTTCACGAACCACCTTTGAGAACAAGACTCAGTGACAGCTGCTCAGACATAGGTCAACGAAAATGTTCACTAACACAGTATTGAAGCCTTGCAAGTATGAGGGGCACTAAAGGCGTAATCGGTGGCATGTCCGTCACGCACTATTAAAGAAGTGACTGATGTAAGCATAGAAAGCCTTCGCCTTCTTTTAAACAAGAACCTGGGATGCGCATATTCTCTTCCATTCATAATGGATGTCATTTGAATAAGTGAGCGAATTGGCCCATTCAAAGATTTTATCACTTATATGGAATCTCCAGAGAAACTTAATCTTCGCGAACGTGCTCAGGCTAAATTAACTGTCCTTTTTTACAATAAGGCCTTTAGTTAACAGTTAATTGACTTAGAATTTATGGTTTACGATTAGTGTGAAGCTGGCCTGTTATCTTACAGGTGACGCATTCTCGAGTCTATTCTTTTCCTGATAGCCGTCGGAAAGAACACTAAAAATCAGTTACCCAGGAGCTGGCTGAGCCACAAGTTAAACGGTCTGTTGCGCATTCCAGTACTGGCACGTTTACCTTTTACCTCAAACTGTGCTTTTGAATGGCAGATCGTTTTCAGGCTAAGAATCGCGAAAAAACTCATTATGAATTTCGGCCAAAAGGTTTTGCGAACTGCACCGCCCAGAATTTATTCAAGATATACGGTTAATTTGCCCGAAGAATGAGCACAGTTTTGTCCTGAAGGCCGGATAAATGGTGGGTTGATGTACTTTTGTGTAATTATACCCCTGTGTCCCTTGCCTTTGACAGGAATGCCATCTTGCTCATTGTAGGCGACGCTGTGCTGCCGCTCGTTCAGCTCAAGTAAGATCCCCACGGCACAACGGGAGGGGTGAGTTCCGTTACAAGATCAGTGACTGCCTATCTACAATTGTATTTTCACGGTCGCAACACACATGGCAACAAGCGGCTGGTCCAGTGGTTGGACTTCGAAGCAACCAGTTGCAGGATGGCACCGCATGTGTTCCACTTTTTAGGGTTGGGTCATGACTGGCTGACGACGACAAATAAGAGAGAAATAGCCATCCAAATATCCCTTGTGTCTGCTGGCATTTATATTTTACCTATACCCAAACATGCTTTCTTCTCTCTGGTGGCTGTTGAATCCAACACAAAATACGTATATGGACATCAACCTGAACAACTGATATAAGAGTAAATTGCTGAATGTCCACGCTGTTTTTCGAGCACTAAATTGGCAGTGTCTTTCCCCATTTTCTTTTTTGCTCGACCACCTGTTACGCGTTTATTCACTTACGGTAGTCTACTGTGCACTGATTACGTCGTGACTTTCTAGTTGTTATTAACATATTGTTTTATCAATGGTTCATATTAAGCCAAAGCACGCGCTTGAGAATAACATCGAATACCTGTACAGTGTAGCATGCACATACAAATACATTTGTGAAATTTGGCCGCCTCGCATATTGCATGACCTTGAATAAGAGCAACCTGACCAGTGGACGTTCTTTTGCATATCAAAGGGAATTGTTCAGATGGTACATTTCATAGAAGCCATATTTTGAAGGACTCATTGCATCCCGCCTTTCCATTCTATTGACTGACTTTGTGGCCATACTACTTTGGAAGTCGCTTTAAGTGCGGCCAAATAGAGGCCTGCCCGATAGCCGGCATCCTTACGTGACTGAAACATTTGCCATTATGTTGCACAACAAGTATTACTACACTGTTGATTAGGGATACTTTTCACTCAAAACTGCACTGCAGGATATGGGTTAACATTTCCTGAGATATCACATCCAATATGAATAGGCAGAAATACCAAACAAAGCAAAAGAGATCAAACTGACAATTTGAGCTTTATCAATCGCCATCAGTTAGCCATAGTTATCGAGGATCTGGGTTACCCAGGATTCTAACTCGAAATTTGTGTGCACTGGACGCTAGGTCTGATGCGCTCTCGTAAGGCCACCGCAACGCTACCATCGGAATAATCCAATTTATTTGACTCGTAGTTCTCGGCCTCGTTCTACACAAAGACCACTGCTATTGTTTTGTTATCCACTGCATTAACGTTAGGCATTTCGGACAGTATTGCTTAGCTGATTAGGCATTCGGCTAAAAAAGATCTTTCTAAAAATGCGTAAATTGACAAATGCCAATGGGACGGATGCTACTACAAAATGCAGTGATGACTATGTTTCTCTGTTTTATGTTGCACAATTTGCAATCTGATTATCCGATCTAGCAAAGCGCTCGTTATATTTCCGAGGAATATTGTCACCGTCTATAATGCAATGTTTACAATGCATGGTAAGTATAGAAAGAAATCAAGTTTAGGGTAGGTTTTGACGGCTACGGGATCCCAAAATTTTAAAATATTCGAAACTGTATTTGCCAAATTAAGTGAGGAATTATCCTTCTAATTTTAGGCGGTTGCCAAAATAAAACATGCGGAAAAATGTACTGCGGGGTCAAAAGCGTAAGTTATTTTATAAAAGTTAATCAATGACGTGAGATAATGTCTCTAGCGGCTAATTCCTCCCTGCCAACGCTGGTTTTTCGAGTGCTCAATTGGCAGTTTTTTCTAATTGTCTGTTTTGCACGACTTCTGTCACGCTTTTATTTACTTACGGCAGTCTCCTGTAAACCGATGACGTCGTAATATTCTATTTTATATTGTCCTATTGTTCGATCAGTGGCTCATATTAAGCGAAAACACGCCTCTGAGAATAATAGCGAAAGTCGGGAGAGTGCACGTGCATTACTATTTGTGAAATTTGGCCTCCCTTATATACTGTATGAGATAGAAAAAGGACACAATTACATCGTCAAACTTTTCAACGGCAAATCATAACAGCCATGTAATAGGCGTACAGGCTATATAAATCTCATTTGCAGAAAACAAAATATGTTATATTTAATGATTAATAAGTAATTACGTATTCCGGAACTTAGTCTTTTTTTCACAATTTGAAACAACGCCACGTTGACAAGTCTGTGATTTGTGCATGTTACGGCGGTTAAACCGAAATTCACCATCGTTCGCTATACGATGAAGATTAAATACCTGATTCGGGAGCGTATCAATCGATAGTTGTGTGCAAGGACCCATTTCAAAGATGCAGTGAGAGGAGTGTTTAGAAAACTAGAAATAAAATCGTCGGAGGATTGCGGGAGCACCACAAAGAACGCAATGGTAAAGGACGGCTATACATATGTCAATAC